CTCACTGTCACAGTGATATCTGCATTACTCATCCACTAAAAAACATCAGTTTATCCTTGTTAATTACACAATATTGATTGGTTTAAATTGTGTACAATGCTTTTGTGTTTTTAACCTTCGATTCAGAGAAACAAATAGTTGTTTCGGATTTAAGACACTGCAGTTTCCGAAGACACTACACTACCCAGAATCCCCAGCTATCGTTTGGGACTACAACATCCGCCTTGCTTTACAAACCCCGTGATTAGTCATCAAGCCCTGTGATTGGATGTTGGAGTGGCAGTGCGACAAGGTTACGCTGAGCGTCAACCAGCTCTATGAAATGGAATGGAACCACGGCAGAACCCTCCCCCCCAGAACTACACATGCTGGCTATTGTGTGTTTCGCAACATGTTCTATGGCACGTCTCTTTATAAGACGTTTTCGTATTTCCCACAATTAGAAGTTGCCAGTATTAAACTGTGTACACCCTGGAGGTTTAGGGGATACGAAACACAGTGGTGTTATCACATTTAAAACATATAATTAATAAATGGGTGAATTAATATACCCACATGACACCTAAGGTCAGAAGAGCTTTATTTAACAGCTGGTCTTATGTCTGTGACCCCTCCTGTTGTTCATTGATAAGCCTGAAACATGCACTTGTCAAGGTTCAGATGCACATTTAGCAAATATGGCAGTAGCCATCGATCAGCTTAAGATAAGATACTTTATTGATCCCAAGTTAGGAAATGTTTTTGTTACAGCAGCATACTAGTTGGTTCTACTCGACTACAATTCAGAGGTTAAGCTGGTATTTTTACTCTACTACATTTATTTGAGTTACTTTGCAGATTCTGATTAATGATGTGAAATATAAACAACCCTTAAATCAGACTTTAGTTACACCTGAGTCAAATTCAGGGAAGGTGATTGTCAAGTGCCAAAATAAACTATGCAATATATTGGACGTTAAGTACTTTGTCAGACTTCATATTTATCTGTGGATAACCCCAACGTTTTTTTCTTGTTCAAAAGAAGACCTTAACTTAAAATATTCTTTAATATTTAAATTCAGCCTTATCAGTTTGTCTGTTTTGCACATCCTCCTGTTAATATCTTTGGACGTCCTGCACTAAACTGTTTTATTGTAGAGATCACTACAGTATCTTCTTGATATGTTCTATTCTATATTTCTATCATGCCTTCTACTTTCCCCCAATTTTGTATGTAGGCTACTCTTAATATTTAAACGTTTTCATCAAATAAAACGTATTCAACAACAAAATTCAATAACGTGCTTTAACCACTAGGTGGTGCGGGTTAAAAAAACAGTGGTGTAGTTAATAAAACATAATAATATCAAACATACTATGACTATTAACTTTATTGTGAAATTAAAACAGAACGGTAAAGGAAAATACAGTTTCAGTCTCTCGATGTGAAGCTTATGCATTGTACCATGAACCTGTATAGACCTGTAACAGTCAACTGCATGAGGAGTTGGAAAGGTAGTAAATAATATCTTTAAAAACTACACAAAAGTCCCTTTCTATCAGCTGTGCACCGTTATGGTGTAAATACAGACTATCTACTAATTGGATCAAATATAAAAGTCAGCCGAATTAGTGTTGATACTGCAAGGAGACGTATTGTGTGAAAATAAATGGAAGATGTTGTTTAATTGTTAATATATTTATGATCCACGTCAAGTATTCAGTTTTAGCGGCATCTCTTCCAGTTTGTCAAAAGGTCTTCTGATCAGGGCTCTATAAATACAGAACTACGGCAGATATGTAATATGTAATGCAGCCGAACCGTGTATTACAATGCCGTTATGTGATGACTTCCAAAGAGAAAAGCAAGAACACTCGGAATAAAGTATTATTTTATAAATGTTTTTCCGATTCAGGGATAAACTGATGTTTTTTAGTGGATGAGTACTGCAGATATCACTGTTAAATCATTTGATCATTGGTTTTATTATGAAAACGTCGAGACCGGAAATACTGTTTTCAACCCGTAACTTTACATCGAGGCTGCCGCATACCTCAAATCATCTTCGTAATATCTATCAAACTATAGATCCTACATATCGACTGGACGTGGATTCTAAAATACAATATACACTTCTCGCTAGAAATCTAATCAAAAAGCGTTTTAATGGCCAAACTATCCTACAATTTAGGATTTTACAGAGAGGGTTATTTGTGAATAAACGACCATCTGTAACGTTTGCATTCAACGGGAGCACTAGAGGGCGAACACTTTAAAACGTAATTATAGGACGTATTAAGCGCTTGAACAAACGACATATTTGGTCGAGTTGGAGGACTTGTTGTTTGTATCCCATTGCAAGATACAACATGTGTGTATATTTTGTATTTTATGTTATATTTTATATGTTATGTTATATTTTTATATATTTTGTATTCTATATTTGTTATCTTGTTTGCATTTTCTCTAGTTTATCATTTGTATTGCAATTAACATACAGTTACCTTTATTTTAAAATGTTAAAAATATATTATTTAATTGTATTTATATTGTATATATATATATATCTATATTGTATCTTCTGCACTATTACATTTGATGTATAAGATTTTTATTTTCGAATTGTGTGTTCTTTTAAAAAAACAATACATTGACGCACACACACACACACACACACACACACACACACACACACACACACACACACACACACACACACACACACACACACACACACACACACACACACACACACCACACACACACACACACACACACACACACACACACACACACACACCACACACACACACACACACACACACACACACACACCACACACACACACACACACACACACACACACACACACACACACACACACACACACACACACACACGATCACCTTTCCAGTGTTTTCCGGAAGAAGACGTCGTCAGAATGCAGTAAATCTCTCTTTCTGTTCAGTTTGACCTCTCTAACTTTGGTACAGATTTTATTACAGACTTCAGCACACAGCAGCAGATCCGCTCTGCAGCCAGCGTCTCTAATTCAGCCTCTGCTGCAGGAAGACACACACACACACACACACACACACACACACACACACACACACACACACACACACACACACACACACACACACACACACACACACACACACACACCACACACACACACACACACACACACACACACACACACACACACACACACACACACACACACACACACACACACACACACACACACACACACACACACACACACACACACACACACACACACACACACACACACACACACACACACACACACACACACACACACAGAAACACAACTCCTTGTCCTTATAATGTTACAAGTATGCCAAAGAGGCATCATCTTATTAAATATGATGCTAATTCGCATACGTTCCCAAAAATGTGCACATTGGATAAAGCCAGGTTTAAAATGCTGGTTTCATTTTGTTGAAAGATTAGAGTCCAATGTTTTGACAGAGATGATTTTCTTTGTGTCACTCCATACATCCGAAAATACTGTCAACAACCAGACGTATTTTTTTTATTTGTTCCATGTTTTTAGTAATAAAATGCTCTATGAATCAGGTTCTGAATGAAATGTGGACAAACCCCCTGTAGAAAGCTTCAGAATATAAATAGGAATGAAACAGTAAGGATTGGTGTATGTAAGTATGAAGAGGAGATTTCTCATGACACTTTGAGAAAAAAGGAACTTTATGAAACCTGCCTTTAAAGATAGCTATTATAAAATGCATACATTTTGTTCACACTACAGGTGAACAGCGTAGAACATGCAGATATCACCAGGGAACTTCCCCTGTAGAAAGACAATCACTTCTTGTATTATAAGCTTTCTAAATGGTTATCTTTAATATGCAAATGAGGCATTATCTAATACTAACGTGTGTGGTGCATTTAGTAAGACCTACACACACACATAGAAAATGTGGATTGCACCTCCCAATAGCCTGAAAGAAGACTACATTGGATCAATTGTAAAATAAATGGACAAGTGCATGACATTATTGGTTGTGTTTTGCAATTACTGTCACCTCTTCATGTCCTTTACTGGAAATAAGGTGATTTGTTCTTCTCAGACATTTCAGAAATCATCTGAATTCATATTGCACAACTTAAAACACTTGATATTCTCCTTAGAAATGATGCAGTGATAAAAGAAGACACAAATGTACTTGTGCAATCTGTCGAGGAGAAATACCTTGTGATCCTGCTGGTTAAAGCATCTCCGTGGAGACTGCACTATTCATTCTGCACCACTGATGTAGTAAAGATGATCACAGAATGGAGGTGTTAATGTGCTGCAGTGTTTTTTCAATTCATATTCAGTTTTCTTTTCCATCTTTGTTGTGCATTCTATTTTATTTTATTGATATCTTATTTACAGTAGATTTTCTACATTTTATTTTCCATTAATGATGCCAATATCTCATATGTACGTCTATTCATCTCTGGTCGTAATGCTGCATATCCTGTATAAAAGGTGCTATATGTATAAAGTTGATTTATTATTAGTTTCATAATACCTTTGTTCAGACAAAACAAGACATGTTTCAATACAAATCATTTAAAAAAACTTCAGGTTATCATTTCATATTCCAATGTTTCAGCATGAAGGAGGGACATGACATGAATATTAAAACGATGGAGCAGGGATCCTAAAATCCCTCTTTGCTCTTATAAAAAGATGAAACACACAGTTATACAAACAGAGAAATATAAGAATGTGTTTTTCTTCTTCTGTGGAGCAGCAGAGCTACAAGAAAGAAGGATGTGATGCCTTGAAAGAAATATGATTCCAGCCTAATTTGATACATAATTGAACAGACGGATGCATGTCTGACATCATGTAGGAATGCAGCAGCAGCAAAGTGTGCTGCAGCCGGAGCCGACACACCCACAGAGCCCCGTGGCTCCAGCAGCTCCCAGCCTTAGTTTGGAGACACATGCATGTGAGATAAGAGGTGTTTCATCTTACCTGGTGCTAGTCCACAGGGAGCTGCAGGCTGGGGCTCATCGTGCTGCTGCAGGAACACAGACCCAGAAGGAGGAGGGGAGAAAAAGCACTTGAAATAAATGTCTGACAAACAATCAGATTCTGCTTTAAATACCCAATCTATATATCTATATCTATATTTATATCTTGAAATAAAATGTGTAGTATGCCTTAAGTCTGCGCCTGTTTTTATTGATTCTGTTTCTGCTGCTTTCTGGTGATGCAGAGTGGAGGATGCTGCAGCTTTCTGTCTTCCTCTGCAAGAGGTAAAAGGGGAGGGAGGGCTGCTATAAGAATGTGTGTGTGTGTGTGTGTGTGTGTGTGTGTGTGCGTGTGGTACAGTAGCTTCATCATCTCCCACTACAGTAAAGCTCACTAATGCCAAATGCAGTGCCTGTCTCAACATTTCAAAATAAAAGCCTGCGCTTTAAGTTTGAATACATTATTTATTTTCGGCTCACTGTGTTTGCTTTTATGTTTATGTTTTTTTTCCTTTTTCTTGATTATATGACTTTTGGTATGTGATATTTCTCCTTTAAACCCCAAAGTTATGAGTTATTTATAATAATAACAATAATAATTCATCTCACTTGCACAACGTGCTTCTTTGTTCAAATCCAAAAATTACAAACAATTTATTTTATTTTTTTCAAAATCATATCTTCCTCAAACTAAGTTTCTGTTTGATAATATATCACTTTTTACTTTAGAATTTAAATATATTTACTATACGCTTAAGTGGGTAACACATATGATGTATTTTTGTTATTGTGGACATCTTTGCTTGCCTATAATATACCTTGTATGTGAAGACATTTTTTTGTAATGTATTTTTTAAGATAAATTGAAAAGACTGAAGTAAGGTTAAATTGGAAAGTATGTTTTATACAAAGTGCTCTTATTTTGGAGGAAAACGAGCCTACTTCCTGTATTGCCTCAGTAACTGGTTTACTTGCTTCGCCTTTTTCTGCTGACTGAGCAAATCCCCAACAATGCACCAGTCCCGCTTCACACACACACTCTGCACCGGGAATATCATATATATACATATTGTTCTCAGGTGGTTTGAATAATAATAATGTTAGTATCTGTAACATGCAGTGTAAACCCCTGCAACATGGTATTTATAGAAATAAAGACTCAATCAAATCGAACATTATTATACTTAACCAATATGTATATACTTTGCACACTTTGCATTTGACACATTTTTTCTTTCAATTTGTCATTTATAAATGCTTCCTGTAACCATATTCCTGTGTTCACTGCCCTCCAGTGATGATCTGCATTACCACATTATAAGTCTAAAACAGAATATCAATATATGCCTTTAAGCTTAAATATATATGTTTAAAACAGAAGTAGTCAAATTAACAACGCCACTATGTATACATTTTGGAAACACTTTATGGTAAGGGTACATGAATCATCATGAATTCATGCATGACTTAAAGAGCCTGTGACAGCCTCCCAACAACTGTTGTGCAATGACATATTGGGCTACTAGTCATCTTGAACCGTCAGCTTAAAAAAGAAGGTGCGATACCGTTCCGATAAATATCAATAATTTCGAACATCGCGGGGAAATTCCTTCGACTCATTTTGAAGTTTTGGGGGAAGCCGGAAGTGACGTCAATGCGGGAATGCTTCACTGTGCGGCGAGAGAGCCAAACACGGACAAAGTGTGTTGTCATGCGTAGAAATGGTGAATTACTGAGTTTAGGCTTGTTAATAACGCTGTAATGAAGTTGACTACAGTATATTCATATTTGTCAGTGCTTTCATGTCAATTTAATGGATAAAATGCACGGATTATTATTATTATTATTCCCACTCCGATCGGGACACTAGGTCCACCGTTTCCCCCAGCGAGGCTCCCCCCGTTGACAGTTTACGTGGGCTGGGCTGGGTGCAGTGGCTGACTGGCCATCGGGACGAATCCCGATGGGCCGGTACCGAAGTGGGCCGGTCGGATAAGTCACTAGCACATCCCCCACTCCCCCCGTTGACAACTTACTAGCGGTACCGAAGTGGGCCGGTCGAGAGTCCCGGGATGATTTTTAGTCTCAGTCCACCACTGGCTACATGACCGTATGATCGCCCATATTGACGCACCTAATTCCTAAACTTCTAACAGATACAACATAAACCGATCCTTCAGCCTCATATGAGCTCTCAGACAGGTTCAAAATTAAACTGTCATCGCTGTCTGAGCTTGCTGCTGTGTGCGCCATCGTGCGTTTACATGCAGATGCTGGGATCCTGAACGGTGCAGCTGGAGCGCTGTGCCCGCAATGACGTCACACATAATTTGGCGGGACTTGAAGAATCCCCAAGAAGATCCAGAAAATGGTCAACATTGAAGGGCAGATTAATGGTTATCAAAGTACAAATATCCAAAATTAGTTCAGTAACGGTTTCAAGGCGACAATATTTACTCAAATTGATGGGTTTGGATGATGGGGGAAACTCGTGTCACAGGTTCTTTAAGATACTATTAATCCTTCTACATTACTGATAGTTCATGAAGTATACATGAATGAATTCATGCTTTTTCATGCATTAAGTCATGCATGAATTAATGATGATTCATGTACCCTTACCATAAAGTGTTACCTACATTTTTTGGAGTAATTCTCCTCATCATAACAACAAATAGTGTGCTATAATAGCAAGAACGATTTGAGGGAACATATTGTTATCCTTTGATTTTTTTATTTATTCTTTAAGTCCTTGCACCTCTTTATCACTTTTGTATTCTTATATCTCATCTTATCTTATTCTTAGATCTTTCCCGGGTCGCCGAGGGTGCTGGCGTTGTTTGTTCGCCGCTCCTCCGCCCCAAATCTTGTTCTTTAGTCCAGATCAGAACCTCTCCTGTCTGGCTCTCTACTTTTTAAACGCCAGTCATCAGCAAAAATAGCAGCATCTCTATATCGAATCGACACAGAACTTTGTGTTGTCATCTCCTACCTGCTGGCTCTTTCCTGCTCACCGGCCCCTAGCCCGCTAGCTAGCTAGAATTATCGGACCTAGCAGGCTGCTACCTAGATGCTCCACGGCTCCCTGAAGTCTGCTGAGCTAACATTTCTGTCTCCTCCCCAACTCCACCCTAACGGAGCGTCCACACTACAGCTTCAAAAAAAGCTTGGAGCTGGGCGTGTCTGAAGCTTGGGGATTTTATTCAAGCAACGCGACCAACAACCAATCACATGAATCTCCCGCCCCCGACATACAAAGCAAAAACCCCCGGGGATTTTATGGGAGCAATATATATATAAACTGCCCAAACAGGCGAAAACCTACCAGTTTCACCCACTGTCTCTGCCACCTCCCTCCATGCCTGGTTCCTCCGGTTTGTATCCCGGTAGGTGAAGAGGGTCTGGTCATACAAAACCGGGTGATTTGCTACGGCGATAATTAGTTTCTCCTCCATCTTTTTTTGAAATATAGAAATGAACGGCGGGATATCTCTCCCAGCTTAGACGCGGTTTGATTGGCTACGGCTTGAGCTGTCAGATTTTCCGAAACGGGATTTGATTGGCTGGCGCTGGCTACTCCGGCGTCAGAAGTTAAACATTGTTCAACTTCTGACGCCGGAGACGGCGGAGAGGGACCGCTATGCTACCCACAATTCAGTTCGGCGAAAAAGCGAGTCAACGTGACGTCACCCCATTCAAAGTGAATGGGCAGATTGAAGCTGTCGACGCTGTAGTGTGGACGGGCCGTAACTCCACCCTAACTCCGCGGCTCGTGTGGGTCTTCCCATCCCGCTGCGATCAGCCGGCTTCCCCGCTGACATCCTCCCTGCCGCCTACAGCCGGTGGCTATCAAGCTAGCTAACAAGCTAGTAGGCTGGTCACCAGGCTCCCACTCTGCACCAGGCTGTCAGCCCCTCATACGATTCTCCTCCGGAAACCACTGGAATTCTCCTGATATGCTGTGGATATCCTTCTGATTTTACCTGGACTCACACCGCTCCTTCTTCCACGGTCATCCGGCTCCTGGTGCCCGGGTCCCCAGCATTAGCTAGCTCCGTGCTAGCGCCAATTATCCGGATCATGTCGCCGCTCTACTCCCTGTCAGATCTCCACTCCTTTAATAACCGCCTGCCTCCGGACTGCATGGACATCCTCGCAGATAATGAAATACTCCGCAAACGCCGTCCTCCACACAGAGGCTCTGGCCGTAAGTTTTTCTTTCATTCCACGTCTCCATACTCCATCCTGTCCATTCGGTCCTGTCACACGCCCACACTACGCCATCACAACAAACAACACGTGAATCTGACCAATCTCCTTCCACTCCCCCGGTCCACACAACCCCCCCCCCCAATGCAACGTCACCTCAGAGCAGCCCTGCTCACACACGCTCCATCCACAATAAAAGCCACATTCTGAATTAATTCATTAAAGATAATAACCTGGACTTTCTGTATCCGACCGAAACGTGGCAAAACCCCCTGGACTATTTTTCTTTAAATCAAATCACCGCAGCAGGATTCACATGCAAACCTCGCCCACAAGGGCGGGGTGGTGGTATAGCTGCTATTATCAGAAAGGAAATAAAAGCTACCATAATCCCCATCCCTGATGTTTCTTCATTTGAACACCTGATCTTCAAACTCTCTGGTCCCACTCCCCTGGTCACAGCCATCATCTACCGTCCGCCGAAGCCAAACCCCTCCTTTCTCTCTGACCTCTCTGACATTCTCACTCAGCTTTCTGCCATATCTCCATCTGTTCTCCTCTTAGGTGATTTTAACATTCATGTTGACGACCCAACCTGCAATAATGCCTCTGAATTTAAGGAAACCCTTCACTGCTGCAACTTCTCTCAACACATCAACTTCCCAACACACAGCCGTGGTCACATCCTGGACTTGGTCTGCTCCACTGGTCTCACCATCCATCATCTGTCCAGCCTCAATCTCCACATATCTGATCACCTGGCCATCATCATGGACATCAACATCCCCATCCCCGCCCAAAAGCAAAAACGCACAATAACTTACAGAAATCTCAAATCCATCTCACCTTCAGCAATCACTGCCTCCATTACCTGCAAGATGTCTGTCTCCCCCCCCCCACTTTCTGAAAACCCATCTGAACGTGTGGACTATTATAACAGCACCCTCTCCTGTCTCAATGAACTGGCCCCCACAAAAACCAAAAATGTCTCTTTCATACACTCCGCCCCATGGTATACCCCCGAACTCCGCCAAATGAAATCAAGGAAACGTCAACTGGAACGCCAACACAAGAAAACCACA